ACGCGTGGATAAATAGACGAACGATGGATGAATGACTGCCTGAATGAATGACTCAATTTACAAATGGATGGATGAATGGTTGGATAGATGAATGAATGAGATAAGGATGAACGAATGAACGACTGAATGAACGAACGAATGAATGAATGAATGAATATGCAAATAAGTGAAAAAAGTTATTCATTACTTGAATGTTCCAATGAACAGTTGTCTGACTGATCGCTGGCCTACCAATTGATTGATTGATTTGCTGTCAAAATATCTGCTTAGTTAGATAGTGTTTTGAGTGATTGATCAGTTGATTGGTGGCTAGTAGCTGGTTGGCTGGTCGGCTGTTTGATTGGCCAGTCGGTTGGTTGGTTGGCTGGTTAGTTAATTGATTTATTGATTGATTGGTTGATTGATTGATTAATTGAATGAATAAATGAATGACCAGTCAACTTATTGATTGATTATTGTAACTTTTATGGAAAAGATGATTGATTGCTTAGAAGCGCTTCGTCCCAATGCTTCTTCGGATTAGTGAAATTAAAAACTTAAAAAACAAAAACGCTTCTAGTGACGTAAGATCGATTGGTTGATTGGTTGATTGATTGGTTGATTGATTGGTTGGTTAGCTAGTTATTTATTTTAATTGATGAGTGAATGAATAAATGAATGAATGAATGAGTGAATGAATGAATGAACGAACGAACGAACGAACGAACTAACGAACGAACGAACGAATAAATGAACAAATAGGCGAACAGATGTATAACTGTGAAAATAAGTGAAAAAATTAATAAAACAAATTAAAAAAATAATTGACAGAACAAAAAAAATGAATGAATAACTGAATGAACGAATGAACAAATGATTGATGGTCTCTTAAATTTAACAACGAACGCTCTATTTTAAGCTCTTTCTACTTGCTTCTATTGTTATTATTATTATTTGTTATTATTGTTATTATTAGTAGTAGTAATAGTAGTAGTAGTAGTAGTAGTTAGTAGTAGTAGTTAGTAGTAGTTAGTAGTAGTAGTAGTAGTAGTAGTAGTAGTAGTAGTAGTTAGTAGTAGTAGTTAGTAGTAGTTAGTAGTAGTAGTAGTAGTAGTAGTAGTAGTAGTAGTAGTAGTAGAAGTAGTAGTAGTAGATCTAGAAAAAATATTTTTTCAATGTTGCACGATTTTTGAACTCATGAAGAGAAAATTTAAAAGAGTTTTGTAACTTTAAATATAAATATAATTTTTTTATATATTCTTATTTGTTATATTTTTGTCTTGAAATTCAATTTATTTAATTTTTTAATTTTCGTTCAAAATTTTAAATAAGATCTGACTTTTTAAAAATATTGATAAGAATGAGATTTTTTAATATAACTGCAACATGTGTTGATCCTTTTAAAATGACAATTTCAACCAACCAACTACCAAACCAACCAACAACTGGCCAACCAACCAATCCAATCAACTTATATACCAGCCAACAACTAACCAACCAACCAGCCAACAACAAATCAATCAACAAACAACCAACCAACCAATCAACAAACAAACCAACCAACCAACCAATCAACAAATACACCAACCAGCCAACCAACCAACCAACCAACCAATCAATCAACCAACCAACCAATCAACAAACACACCAACCAGCCAACCAACCAACCAATCAACATACAGGGACCACAACAGCCAAGGTATACATTCAAGACAGAAATGACAACCGCCCAATTTTCACTTGGCCCCAGTCCCTAAACTACACACTCATCGTCAGCCCGAAAAAACTTTTCAGCCGTGGTCGTACCCGCGACTTGAAAAAAATTTTCAAAATCGCGGCCACCGACGACGACTTCGGGGAGAACTCCAAAATTTTTTACACTCTAGTTAGCGTGGTTCGATTAAGCGGAGGCGCTCACAGTGATGATGATGATGATGATATTAATGATGATGATGATGATGATGTTAAAGATGGTGAGGGTAATGATGTTAAAAAGGCTGATGATGATGACGTTGATAATGATGATAATGATGTTGTTGTTGTGTCTAGTAAAAAAGTTTCTGCCCCGAATAATGCCAGCAAGGAGAGGGGCAATGATATTGATGATGATTTCGACAATAACAATTGTGACCATGTAAGCAAAAATAACAATAGCAACAACAATTTCAACATGTTTTCTGATTGCAATAAAGATCTCAACAACAACAACAACAACAACACTAGTTATATTAATAACACTAAAGATAATAAAGGTTACAATGATAATAATAATAATAACAAAAATTTCAGCAACACATACAACAATTTGTTCCAACTCAACAAACAAACGGGCGATTTATCAATCTGGCTAACATCAACCACAACAGCCACAACAGCCGTGACCACACTCGCCAACTATACCGACTATTCGTTTCTCCTGACGATCACCGCCTCGGATACCGGCACGCCGAGACTCGCCTCAACCCTAACATTCATCATCATCATCAGTAATAACGCTTCGACCTCGCACTTCGATCTGACGTCATTAAACCATTATGGCTACGCCGACGATGATTACGGTGACGATGACGACAACAAAAGCAACATTTACGACGACGATGACGATGGTAATGAAAAAAATTATTACAACCAAAGATACAAAAACAACAAAATGGCCGCCAGTCTACTTGCAACAGTCATCCTGACCGGACTTTTTTCCCTAATCGCTGTTATCTTCCTAATTACAGTAACAGTAATACGATGCCTGCGACGTAAAAAACAACGACACAGTAAAGCACGCTCTGGGGCCATTAAAATTTTAAATGACGTCACACTTCCGGTTACAATGACGTCATCGGCGACATTAGCTGCAGCTGCTGCTACTGCTACGGCTGCTGCCGAAACTGCTGAAGTTGTAGTTGACGCTACGCGTTTGAAGGAGAAGAGAGAGATTTATCACCAACAACAACAACATCAACAACAACAACATCAACAACAAAATCAATATCAACAGCCACCAGCACGCCTTAGAATGCTAAGCAACAACGGAAAAGGTTGCAGATGCGATGACGATAAACTACACAGCACCAAAGATCGTAAAAACTTTGAGTTTTATAACAACAACAACCACGATGATGACGTAGCAATGTATTGTACTTTGACTCGCAACAACAACAACAGGAAAAACAATAATAACGATTATATCGCAAACAACAACAACAATAACAAAACATCAATGAAAACCTTTTATTATAAACCCGTGAGTAAAAATATAGACAACAGCATCAACAACAGCATCAACAACAACAACGACAAAATTATCGAGTCAGAAAATAATCGATACTTCACAATACCGATGATTCGGCACAACTCTTTTCCCGCCAATAATGACGATGATGACGATAGTAATAGTAATAGTAATAGTAATAATAATTATAATAATAATAAAATTGATGATGGAAAAATCGGTGACAAGGTTAAACTTAAAAATAATATTTATATGTTTATGTATATGTTTGTATGTATATATGTGTATGCAAGTTTGTATGTATGTTTTTACGTTGTATGTATGTATGTATGTATGTATGTATGTATGTATGTATGTATGTATGTATGTATGTATGTATGTATGTATGTATGTATGTATTTTTAGTTTAGGCACTTTTAATCATTACACTACTACCTCACGATACATGTACTAGCATTACGAATGGCAATGGAATAAGAATACAAACCATTTATGTAAATTTTAAGACTCAAGAACAAATTGAATCTATGGCGAAAATGATATTTTGTTTGATAAAACCACATGATAAAAACAAAGAAATAACAACAACAACAAGCAACAACCAAAGAACCACAACCAAACATCGACAAAACCAACCAAACTACAACAACAACAGCAAACAGCCTCTTGACAAAATGGCGCGCTTCAAAGGATCGGTCACGTGATATTCGTCCATGCGAATAAACATGACGTCACTTTGGGCATTTTTTTTACGTCTGTTTAGATGGAGTGTAAAATGAACGTTGCCTGGCATTTGTTTGTCTTAAATTAAAAATGTAAACAAAACTAATTTTGCATAGATATAGTAGACTTAAATGTAAACAAATTACCATAGAGGTATAATTAAAAAAAATATAGCGTAGGTTTACGGGTTTATATGTGTGCACTGCACATATATGAAATAATTATTGATGATAATAATTTTGGTATTTGTATTTGTATTTGGTGACTTGAATTGTTGTGGATTGTTGAATGGATGATTTTTTAAACACTTCTTGAACATCCGTCGATCCATGCCACTGAATCTTTTCAGATATGTCGGCAGAGCATTCCAAATTTGAGCTGACGACACCAAAAATCTTCTTTTTCCAAAGCTTGAAGATTTGTGCTTTGGGTTTTGTTGTTAATGTTGTAATACAATAATGTTGTTGTAGTTGTTGAGGATGATTTTGTTGTTGTTGTTGATGTTGTGGTTGTTGTTGTTGATGATGCCGTTGTTGATGTTTTTGTTGTTGTTGATGATGACGTTGTTGATGTAGTTGTTGTTGTTATTGATGTTGTTGATGTCGTTTTTGTTGTTGTTGTTGTTGCTGCTGCTGCTGTTATTGTTGTTGTTGTCATATCGTGAATTTTTCGATGGTTATTAAACTTGGCTAAAAAAATTTTTGTTTTGAAAAAAAAAAACTCATCCCCATCAATCCCTCATCATTACTACTACTACTACTGCTACTACTACCATTACT